TAGGGAGTTCTGGAGGTGAGAAAAGCCGGGCTTTCGGAATGGCTGTGTCACGTTTGAACAATGCTATGTTGGTGGTAGAAGCTGTTACGAAGCAGCTTGCAGCAATCTTACAAACTATCTCTAGGCTAATCGGTAACATTAGTGGGAAGGTCAGTCAGTTCATTTGCAGTTATTCGAAATACCTATTTTCGTGATTTTGAATTCGAAATTGATCTTCTATTATACTACCTACGCTATCTCTAGGTTTCTGCACTTGATGTCGCAAAGACTCGCGTTGTTGAGTGCCTTCAGCTTGCTGGTGATATGCATGATTTAGGTACGTTATCAATTTACATTTTTTTGTTCTTGTTTTGATTAGGCTTTGCACATACATCATTCTAGGCGTCTGTAGTGAGGAAGTGGATCGGTCCATAAATAACGAAGATCATGAACAGGCCGCTCAGCATATACACCCGTTTCTTACTCTGGATAGGACTGTTTTTCAATTTAGTTGTGCACCTGACAAAGGCAGGCTACATTTTATCATATTTCGCATCAAATTTTTGAGCAGTGAGTGGCAACCAACGTATGAGATGGTGATTTCTGTTTTAGAAGCTGCCCAAGCGGTATCTCGTTATGAGCTAACTAATCGACAACTCGATTGAAAGAGGTTGTGGAACGCACCTTGGAGTCAGCAGTGGATACTGAAAATGTTGCTGCAATGCAACGGTATTTTGAAAATTTTTTGATTTTCCATGATTGAACAAATGTTTGTTTAGGTTTGTCTCAAGCTGTTACCGCTAACAACGAACACGATAGTGGCCTAGTTCTAATTGGCAAGTATTTGAGTCGGCAGATCGCGAAGATTGGTGAAGACAATCTGAAGGTTATTAAGTTATTACTTTTTATTCTCTTATGATTTTGGTTTTGCAGTCCGCAGCTTTTTAAAAATTTGAAGCTTGTTACTTTGAGACCATGAGTGCTGGTCACTTAGATGATAGGACAATTGAAGTGCTCTATGCTGACACTATGTTTCTATTTCTGAAAGGTATGTGCTGTTTCATATTGTTATTTCATACTTTCTAAATGCAAATCTGGTCATCTCTTTATGGGTCGCTTTTGAAATTACTATCCTCCTTTTGAGAGGGTCACCTTCTTACCCTTTTTACTGTCATTTTGTGCTGGATTTCGCCAACAGGCTTGGAATGTTCACGTATTCATCTTCTGCGATAGTTTTTTCGTATTTCGTCACAACATCGATTCTTTCAGGTAGATAGTTGATAAGCAGTGGTTCGGGAACCACGTCTGTGCTGCTTTGAACAATTGCATT